TTGTCACTTCTGCTTCCGCGCGGTGTCGGCGCAGTTTGTACAGCTCTGGTAGCGACCCCTCAAACTCACTTTCGTCGGCTTCTTTCCTACTTGCAAGCCATGGGCGACGTGGAGGTGGCCGCGTTGGTGGTGGACAACGGCAGCGGCATGTGCAAGGCGGGGTTTGCTGGGGACGACGCCCCCCGCGCCGTCTTCCCGTCCATCGTCGGCCGCCCCAAGATGCCGGGCATCATGGTGGGCATGGACCAGAAGGACGGGGGTCGTGACTTACATCCATGCACTTTGATCACTTAAGGGGTTGGGCACCTGCGAAGCGCAATCCCCCCCCCCCTCCCCAAATTCCCAACAAAGCCCTGTGACATCACTGGCTACGGATCGCACAGGGATAAGCTACTAGAGGTGTAGTGGGAGACCCTAGGCATGTATTCGTCCTGCATTGCACTTTTGAAAGCAAGTTGGCCGTGTCTGGCAGGACTCCTACATTGGCGACGAGGCCCAGTGCAAGCGAGGTGTCCTTACCCTGAAGTACCCCATCGAGCACGGCATCGTCACCAACTGGGATGACATGGAGCCTTGGCCCAAAAACAGAGCTGTGAAGGCAGTATGTAAGGGTGTTACCCTCAACCCTAAACCCTAAACCCTCAGCCCTAAGCCCTAAGCCCTAAACCCTAAACCCTAAACCCTAAACCCTAAACCCTAAGCCCACTAGGAGAAGATCTGGCACCACACCTTCTACAACGAGTTGCGGGTCGCCCCGGAGGAGCACCCAGTGCTGCTGACGGAGGCCCCGCTGAACCCGAAGGCCAACCGCGAGCGCATGACGCAGGTCATGTTCGAAACCTTCAACGCCCCTAGCATATTCTGGGGTTCTCCAGCACAGGAGCATTGAGTTTGGGGTTCTCGCCGTCATCGTCGAAAACCGAAAGCCTTGTGCCCTCTCCTGTCGCTCCTAAACCCATCCGAAAACGTCCGCCTAGGTTCCTGCCATGTACGTTGCCATCCAGGCGGTGCTTTCCCTGTACTCCTCCGGCCGCACCACGGGCATCGTCATGGACCGTTTCAGGGTTCAGCTTAGGGTAGCGTACCAGACATGTATGCGTGGGATGTGTGAGCTTGGCAAGCCTGCTCTCAGCATCTAGGGTATCAGGTCGTAGATGGTCGTACAAACTGAGCTAAGTTCTTGTTTGGGCACGATGCTTGCGTTGACCTCATCTCTTGTGCAGGACAGCGGCGACGGCGTGTCGCACACGGTGCCGATCTACGAGGGCTACTCGCTGCCCCATGCCATCCTCCGACTGGACCTGGCTGGCCGTGACCTCACGGAGTACATGATGAAGATCCTGACTGAGCGGGGCTACAACTTCGCCACCACGGCGGAAAGAGAGATTGTGAAAGACGTTAAGGAGAAGCTGTGCTACATCGCGTTGGACTTCGACAGCGAGATGAAGGCATGCAGCGAGAGCAGCGACAAGGAGAAGACGTACGAGCTGCCCGATGGCAACATCATCACCGTGGGCTCCGAGCGTTTCCGCTGCCCTGAGGCCATGGGTTCTTGATTTTGGGCCATCAGTTGCTTTAAGCGGTATCAGCGGATATCACCATGGTTGTGGCTGCAATGCTTGACGCCGGATGTGCAAGTAGGTTTTGGATGCGATCTGTGAGATTGAATGTGTGTGTGTGGGGGCTTCTGCTTTGACTGCTTATCAGTTCTTGCGGCCTGCGCGTTGCTTGGGTCCAGTAGGCAAGTTCGGCGCACGTGAGGTCCTGTTCCAGCCCAGCTTCGTAGGCAAGGAGGCCAGCGGCATCCACGACACGACCTTCCAGTCCATCATGAAGTGCGACGTGGACATCCGCAAGGACCTCTACTCCAACATCGTGCTGTCTGGCGGTACTTCGATGTTCCAGGGTGTCGGCGAGAGAATGACCAAGGAGCTGACGGCGTTGGCGCCCTCCACCATGAAGATCAAGGTGGTGGCCCCCCCGGAGCGCAAGTACAGCGTGTGGATTGGAGGCTCCATCCTGTCCTCCCTGAGCACCTTCCAGCAGATGTGGATCTCCAAGGGCGAGTACGACGAGAGCGGCCCGACCATCGTGCATCGCAAGTGCTTCTGAGTCTAGGCAGACTTGCTGAAGATGCCACGTTTGAAGCGCCACAGGCAGATATGTCGAAGAGGGTCAAACCCTCATGTTCATGTCTGACCTATCGGTGCGATGATGGGCTGGGTAGGTCCAGCGACCAGTGTCTGCAAGGGTGGTTTTGAGATGTTTTGTCTACTCCTGCTATCTTGGCAGGTGCTGCTCGGGTGTGCGCCCGAACTTGTTGCAGCTTCTGTACAGCAACCAGGCTGCGACTGCGATAGGGATTCAGGATGTCTCAAGCATGCCAGCCGCGACGCTGAAATGCCTTGAGACAAGATGAAAGAAGAGGCGGGCACGTTGCCTGCTTGGAGTGAGTTGCGCATCCCGTTCATGCCGCGCATGCCACGCTGCGAATTCACCTTGTCACTTCTGCTTCCGCGCGGTGTCGGCGCAGTTTGTACAGCTCTGGTAGCGACCCCTCAAACTCACTTTCGTCGGCTTCTTTCGGTCCTACTTGCAAGCCATGGGCGACGTGGAGGTGGCCGCGTTGGTGGTGGACAACGGCAGCGGCATGTGCAAGGCGGGGTTTGCCGGGGACGATGCCCCCCGCGCCGTCTTCCCGTCCATCGTCGGCCGCCCCAAGATGCCGGGCATCATGGTGGGCATGGACCAGAAGGACGGGGGTCGTGACTTACATCCATGCACTTTGATCACTTAAGGGGTTGGGCACCTGAGAAGCGCAATCCCCCCCGCTTCCCCCTTTCCCCAAATTCCCAACAAAGCCCTGTGACATCACTGGCTACGGATCGCACAGGGATAAGCTACTAGAGGTGTAGTGGGAGACTGTGGGCACGTATTGATGTTGCATCTGGTTTTTGAAAGCAAGTTGGCCGTGTCTGGCAGGATTCCTACATTGGCGACGAGGCCCAGTGCAAGCGGGGTGTCCTTACCCTGAAGTACCCCATCGAGCACGGCATCGTCACCAACTGGGATGACATGGAGCCTTGGCCCAAAAGCAGAGCTGTGAAGGCAGTATGTAAGGGTGTTACCCTAAACCCTAAACCCGAAACCCTAAACCCTGAACCCTAAACCCTAAAGTCTAAACATGTAAACCCTAAACCCTAATAAACCCTAAACCCTAAGCCCTCATCCCTAAGCCCTAAACCCTAAACCCGAAGCCCACCAGGAGAAGATCTGGCACCACACCTTCTACAACGAGCTGCGCGTCGCCCCGGAGGAGCACCCGGTGCTGCTGACGGAGGCCCCGCTAAACCCGAAGGCCAACCGCGAGCGCATGACGCAGGTCATGTTCGAGACCTTCAACGCCCCTAGGATATTCTCGGGCTGTTCTCCAGTACAGGGGCTTTGAGTCTGGGGTGCGCGCCGTCATAGTCGAAAACCGAAAGCCTTGTGCCCTCTCTTGCCGCTCCGAAACCCATCCGAAAACGTCCGCCTAGGTTCCTGCCATGTACGTTGCCATCCAGGCGGTGCTTTCCCTGTACTCCTCCGGCCGCACCACGGGCATCGTCATGGACCGTTTTTTTTTTGGGGGTTCAGCTTCGGGCATCGTAGCAATTTTTGTATGCGCGGGATGTGTGAGCTTGGCAAGCCTGCTTTCAGCATCTAGAGTATGAGGTCGTAGATGGTCGTAGAGTGCATCATAGAGGTCAGTCAAACTGAGCTCGAGTTCTTCTCTGGGCACGATGCTTGCGTTGAATTCATCTCTTGTGCAGGACAGCGGCGACGGGGTGTCGCACACGGTGCCGATCTACGAGGGCTACTCGCTGCCCCATGCCATCCTCCGACTGGACCTGGCTGGCCGTGACCTCACGGAGTACATGATGAAGATCCTGACTGAGCGTGGCTACGCCTTCACCACCACGGCGGAAAGAGAGATTGTGAAAGACGTCAAGGAGAAGCTGTGCTACATCGCGTTGGACTTCGACAGCGAGATGAAGGCGTCCAGTGAGAGCAGCGACAAGGAGAAGACGTACGAGCTGCCCGATGGCAACATCATCACCGTGGGCTCCGAGCGTTTCCGCTGCCCTGAGGCCATGGGTTCTTGATTTTGGGCCATCAGTTACTTTAAGCGGTATCAGCGGATTGTGGCTGCAATGCTTGACGCCGGATGTGCAAGTAGGTTTTGGATGCGATCTGTGAGATTGAATGTGTGTGTGTGGGCGCTCCTGCTTTGACTGCTTATCGGTTCTTTCTTGCCTGCGCGTTGCTTGAGTCCAGAAGGGGAAAGTTCGGCACACGCGAGGTCCTGTTCCAGCCCAGCTTCGTAGGCAAGGAGGCCAGCGGCATCCACGACACGACCTTCCAGTCCATCATGAAGTGCGACGTGGACATCCGCAAGGACCTCTACTCCAACATCGTGCTGTCTGGCGGTACTTCGATGTTCCAGGGTGTCGGCGAGAGAATGACCAAGGAGCTGACGGCGTTGGCACCCTCCACCATGAAGATCAAGGTGGTGGCCCCCCCGGAGCGCAAGTACAGCGTGTGGATTGGAGGCTCTATCCTGTCCTCCCTGAGCACCTTCCAGCAGATGTGGATCTCCAAGGGCGAGTACGACGAGAGCGGCCCGACCATCGTGCACCGCAAGTGCTTCTGAGTCTAGGCAGACTGTCTTGCTGACGATGCCACGTCTGAAGCGCCACAGGCAGACATGTCGAAGAGGGTCAAACCCTCATGTTCATGTCTGACCTATCGGTGCGATGATGGGCTGGGTAGGTCCAGCGACCAGTGTCCGCAAGTGTGGTTTTGAGATGTTTTGTCTGCTCCTGCTATCTTGGCAGGTGCTGCTCGGGTGTGCGCCCGAACTTGTTGCAGCTTCTGTACAGCAACCGGGCTGCGACTGCGATAGGGATTCTTGATCCCTCAAGCATGCCAGCCGCGACGCTGAAATGCCTTGAGACAAGATGGAAGAAGAGGCGGGCACGTTGTCTGCTTGTGGTGAGTTACGCAGCCCGTTCATGCCGCGCATGCCACGCTGCGAATTCACCTTGGCACTTCCGCATCCGCGCGGTGTCGGCGCAGTTTGTACAGCTCTGGTAGCGACCCCTCAAACTCACCTCCGTCGACTTCTTTCCTACTTACAAGCCATGGGCGACGTGGAGGTGGCCGCTTTGGTGGTGGACAACGGCAGCGGCATGTGCAAGGCTGGGTTTGCCGGGGACGATGCTCCTCGTGCCGTCTTCCCGTCCATCGTCGGCCGCCCCAAGATGCCGGGCATCATGGTGGGCATGGACCAGAAGGACGGGAGTCGTGACTGATATCCATGCACTCTGCTGAGTTTTGGGGCTGGGCGCCTGAGAAGCGCAATCCCCCCCCCGCCCCGTCCCTTCCCCAAGTTCCCAACAAAGCCCCGTGACATCACTGCCTACGGATCGTACAGGGATGTCCAGTAGCTATTGAGCTACTAGAAGCTTAGTCCCTTCCCCCTAATATTAAACGGGCGGCCCACCCCCCCCCCCCCCATCCCCCCCAATAGAAACTCGAAATGTGTCTTTGTTATTCTGGTGATGTCTTTACTCACATGTCACGTTTCTGCGCAGTGTGGGGTCCAAAGGGTTTAGGGTCTAGGCTTCAGGGTAATTAGTTACTTAATTAGGGTGTAAACTGAAAGAGAGAGAGAGAGAGAGAGAGAGAGAGAGAGAGAGCGAAAGAGAGACAGGGAGACAGAGAGAGAGAGAGAGGGGGAGCGTTGAGGGCCGAGGGTTTAAAAGGCGGGGTCGGTTTCGGCAGGATTGTCCGGAAAGTGTTTTATAATTATTAGGGGTACGTTTGATAAAAGGGGGACGGGATTAATGGGAGACTGTAGGCACAAGTTGGCGTGTCTGGAAGGATTCCTACATCGGTGACGAGGCCCAGTCCAAGCGGGGTGTCCTTACCCTGAAGTACCCCATCGAGCACGGCATCGTCACCAACTGGGATGACATGGAGCCTCGGCCCAAAAGCAGAGCTATGAAAAGGCCGCCTGTGAGCGGAATGACAAGGGCAGAGCGATGGACATGAGGAGCACTGCTCGCGTAGGTCAGTGGGTCCCGTGCCCCTTAGGAGAAGATCTGGCACCACACCTTCTACAACGAGTTGCGGGTCGCCCCGGAGGAGCACCCAGTGCTGCTGACGGAGGCCCCGCTGAACCCGAAGGCCAACCGCGAGCGCATGACGCAGGTCATGTTCGAGACCTTCAACGCCCCTAGCATACTCTTGGGTTGTTCTCCAGCACAGGGGCTTTGAGTCTGGGGTGCGCGCCGTCATCGTCGAAAACCGAAAGCCTTGTGCCCTTTCTTGCCGCTCGGAAACCCGTCCGAAAACGTCCGCCTAGGTTCCTGCCATGTACGTTGCCATCCAGGCGGTGCTTTCCCTGTACTCCTCCGGCCGCACCACGGGCATCGTCATGGACCGTTTTTTTTTGGGGGGGTTCAGCTTCGGGCATCGTAGCAACTTTTGTATGCGCGGGATGTGTGAGCTTGGCAAGCCTGCTTTCAGCATCTAGGGTATGAGGTCGTAGATGGTCGTAGAGTGCATCATAGAGGTCAGTCAAACTGAGCTCGAGTTCTTCTCTGGGCACGATGCTTGCGTTGAATTCATCTCTTGTGCAGGACAGCGGCGACGGGGTGTCGCACACGGTGCCGATCTACGAGGGCTACTCGCTGCCCCATGCCATCCTCCGACTGGACCTGGCTGGCCGTGACCTCACGGAGTACATGATGAAGATCCTGACTGAGCGTGGCTACGCCTTCACCACCACGGCGGAAAGAGAGATTGTGAAAGACGTCAAGGAGAAGCTGTGCTACATCGCGTTGGACTTCGACAGCGAGATGAAGGCGTCCAGTGAGAGCAGCGACAAGGAGAAGACGTACGAGCTGCCTGATGGCAACATCATCACCGTGGGCTCCGAGCGTTTCCGCTGCCCTGAGGCCATGGGTTCTTGATTTTGGGCCATCAGTTACTTTAAGCGGTATCAGCGGATACTGTATCACCATGGTTGTGGCTGCAATGCTTGACGCCGGATGTGCAAGTAGGTTTTGGATGCGATCTGTGAGATTGAATGTGTGTGTGGGGGCTCCTGCTTTGACTGCTTATCAGTTCTTGCGGCCTGCGCGTTGCTTGGGTCCAGTAGGCAAGTTCGGCGCACGTGAGGTCCTGTTCCAGCCCAGCTTCGTGGGCAAGGAGGCCAGCGGCATCCACGACACGACCTTCCAGTCCATCATGAAGTGCGACGTGGACATCCGCAAGGACCTCTACTCCAACATCGTGCTGTCTGGCGGTACTTCGATGTTCCAGGGTGTCGGCGAGAGAATGACCAAGGAGCTGACGGCTTTGGCGCCCTCCACCATGAAGATCAAGGTGGTGGCCCCCCCGGAGCGCAAGTACAGCGTGTGGATTGGAGGCTCCATCCTGTCCTCCCTGAGCACCTTCCAGCAGATGTGGATCTCCAAGGGCGAGTACGACGAGAGCGGCCCGACCATCGTGCACCGCAAGTGCTTCTGAGTCTTGGCAGACTTGCTGACGATGCCACGTTTGAAGCGCCACAGGCAGACATGTCGAAGAGGGTCAAACCCTCATGTTCATGTCTGACTTATCGGTGCGATGATGGGCTGGGCAGGTCCAGCGACCAGTGTCCGCAAGTGTGGTTTTGAGCTGTTTTGTCTGCTCCTGCTATCTTGGCAGGTGCTGCTCGGGTGTGCGCCCGAACTTGTTGCAGCTTCTGTACAGCAACGGGCTGCGACTGCAATAGGGGTTCAGGATGTCTCAAGCATGCCAGCTGCGACGCTGAGATGAAAGAAGATGAAAACAAGGGGTGGGCACGGTCTGCTTGCGGTGAGTGCACGCCTGGCGCTTACTCATGCCACCTTGTCAATGGCCGTCCCTTAAAGGTCGCTTCCCTTGTCAACCAATGGGCCCGAGCAACCGACACAGCTCGCATCCTCCAGCCGACCCTTGCTTTTTGCCTTCAGCCATGGGTGACGAGGAGGTCCTTTGTTATGGGGTTTCAAAATGTGTGACACTTTGGGGTTTGCATAGGGTTTAAGGGCTCAGAAGTTATAAGGGCTCAGGGGACGCTCACGGGCGTGGCAAGGGTTTTCGAGGGTTGGCTTGGAGTTTTGGGGGGTTTAGGGGTTTAGGGTTCCCCCAAACCCTAAACCCTAAACCCTAAACCCTAAACCCTAAACCCTAAACCCTAAACCCTAAACCCTAAACCCTCAAAACCTTCAACCGCGTGGGCCAAGAGATTTCCCTGAGTCCCTATAAGTTAGCAGCCGGGCACCACAGTGCCTCTCTATGGCTTAGGGTTTAGGGCTTGGGGTTTGGAGGGTTGCAGGTTTAGGGTTATTATTTATAGGTATATATAAGAAGAAAACTGCAAACTGTTCCCATGCAATCGCCTTACAGGCCTCCGAGATCTTATTGCGAAAGCAAATCTGGGCGCCCTTCTGCTATTCCTCGGTTCCCGGGAAACCTTAGCTTGGAAAGATTGCAGCGTCTGTAACACCTTAAGGTCCTGAGGTTGAGGTCTTTTTGTTCCTACCACCCCCGTCTTTTCCACCCTGCCAGGTTCCCCACATACATAGCCTGAACTAGGCTTACTTATCCCATGTATTTTTGTGGGGGAACCTAGGGGGGGTAGTACAGAGGGGGGGGGAGTAGGGAAACCCATGAGGTTATGGGGCTTCGGGCGTCTCGAAGATGGTTGCAGGCTCTGCGGTTTGTGGTGGTGAAATTAAGCTGGCAATGGCCCCCGGTCTGTGTCTCCTTGTCCCTTGGTGTTGGCTTCCCCCTTGGTCTACCCAAAACCTTAAACATCCCTAAGCCCTAAACCCTTATTTGTGAGACTGGTGCGGGGCACGGAGCTAGGGGAAGGGCGGGCGAAAAAGAACATTGGAACCTGCGGATACTTCAAGAAGGGCATCCTCTGGTCTACACCCCCACCCCCCTCCCCCCCCCCCCCCCCAATAAACCCCCTGCTTTTTCCGGCAAAGCGTGACCTAAACCCTAAACCCTGAACCCGATGCTTCCGAGGGTTTGTCCTGCTGTCCCCGCCTGTTGCAATCCGCGCACTGCGAGCGGTTAGGGGTTACTTGGAGGTTCAAGGTACTTAGTAACCCTTTATAACTGTAGTACCCTAACAAGGGTAACAATTGGGCTATATGTACAGTTATCGTTGGGTTACTAGGTACCATGAACCTCCAAGTAGGGTTTGCGCGTAGGCGGGGGCGGAGGGGGGAAGGAGCCCGAGTCCATCGGAGGGACCTTCATAATGTAGGGGCTAAGGACTATAGAAGGTACATATAGGGGGTTATATCGGCGAAGAAGCGTAAGGGTCCCTTCTATAGGGGTCCTTCCTTACGTCCTCTAGTGGCTTCATCTGTTGCACTTTCACTAAACCACCTTCATGTCCTCGTCTATGAATCGCCAGAAGTGGTTCTCACGAAACGTTATCATGAGGGCCCTTAGTATATGTACAAATCACAGGAAAGAACGCGCTGTGATACTTCAGTCTCGGGCAACACCGGAAATGAATCAACCTCATGCCTCAACCCTCATGCCTCAACCCTCAACCCTAAGCCCTAAACCCTAAACCCTAAACCCTAAACCCTGACGTTATGCTTCAGCTTCCTCGGCTTCCTATAAAGACCTAAAGTCAGGGAAGCTCATAAGAATGCAAGGTGGCCGCGTTGGTGGTGGACAATGGCAGCGGCATGTGCAAGGCGGGGTTTGCTGGGGACGACGCCCCCCGCGCCGTCTTCCCGTCCATCGTCGGCCGCCCCAAGATGCCAGGCATCATGGTGGGCATGGACCAGAAGGATCGCTTCTTGGGAATTTTTGGGTGGCGCGTAGTCTTCGCAGGGGTTGATTGTTGGGTGTTTGTGCTTACCAGGCTGTGGCATGTCGTGGGTTTGTGCAGGACTCCTACGTGGGCGACGAGGCCCAGTCCAAGCGAGGTGTCCTCACCCTGAAGTACCCCATCGAGCACGGCATCGTCACCAACTGGGACGACATGGAGCCTTGGCAAAAAGCTGTGCAAGAGTGTGAAAGCATCGCCTTAGTTTTGCAAGACGGCATGAAGACATGAGGGAGCATGCGCGCGCCGCCCGTCCTAGGAGAAGATCTGGCACCACACCTTCTACAACGAGCTGCGCGTCGCCCCGGAGGAGCACCCGGTGCTGCTGACGGAGGCGCCGCTGAACCCGAAGGCCAACCGCGAGCGCATGACGCAGATCATGTTCGAGACCTTCAACGCGCTCTGGTCGAAAGCAAGACACGCCACAAGCCCACGAACCCGAAGCCCCGAAGAGTTTTGTCTTGCTTCTTCTTAGAACGCCCCATCCCGCATGAACCCGCGCAGTAGCTTCGCCTGTGCAATGCGCATCTTGTTGTCTCCGTTACATGAAAGAAGCAGAACATAACTTCTTCATGCCTAGCAGCTGGGAAGCGGTGGCCATAAGGTGCCTGCCATGTACGTGGCCATCCAGGCCGTGCTCTCCTTGTACGCCTCTGGCCGCACCACGGGCATCGTCATGGACCGTAAACCTTGAGCGAAGTTAAATCCGACCAAAGCCCTTTAATAAGCCAGTGTATAGACCCCAGTCCGCCCTGGTCACTTGGGTGTTGGGTGGGTTTGGGGGTTGGGTCGCAAGGGCGGGGGATGGGGCTCTAGGCATTTGTAGGCTTTACTTGTGCAGGAATTGGGGTTAGGCTTCAATATGTTTTAATTGCATGTGCTCGAGCAGGACAGCGGCGACGGCGTGTCGCACACGGTGCCGATCTACGAAGGCTACGCGTTGCCCCACGCCATCCTCCGCTTGGACCTGGCCGGACGTGACCTCACAGAGTACATGATGAAGATCCTGACCGAGCGAGGCTACTCCTTCACCACCACGGCAGAGCGTGAGATTGTCCGGGACGTCAAGGAGAAGCTGTGCTACATCGCGCTGGACTTCGACAGCGAGATGAAGGCCGCCAGCGAGAGCAGCGACAAGGAGAAGACGTACGAGCTGCCCGACGGCAACATCATCACCGTGGGCGCCGAGCGATTCCGCTGCCCGGAGGCCGGGCAAGGCTGTGTGAATCTGGTAGCTTATTAGAGCACTGCAAAGTTTGATGCGAGGCCTTGCTACAAATCGTTGTCTGTAGTAAGCGCTGCAGCACGTGGCAGGTCCTGTTCCAGCCCAGCTTTGTGGGCAAGGAGGCCAGCGGCATCCACGACACGACCTTCCAGTCCATCATGAAGTGTGACGTGGACATCCGCAAGGACCTCTACTCCAACGTCGTGCTGTCTGGCGGCACCACCATGTTCCAGGGCATCGGCGAGCGCATGACCAAGGAGCTGACGGCCCTGGCGCCCTCCACCATGAAGATCAAGGTGGTGGCCCCCCCGGAGCGCAAGTACAGCGTGTGGATTGGAGGCTCCATCCTGTCCTCCCTGAGCACCTTCCAGCAGATGTGGATCTCCAAGGGCGAGTACGACGAGAGCGGCCCGACCATCGTGCACCGCAAGTGCTTCTGAGGTTTTCGAGGCTTCCGCGGCTTCTGAGGGGCTGGGAGGGAGCTGGGCAACGCCTTTGGCCAGACATGTCGAAGAGGGTCAAGCCCTCATGTTCATGCCTGAGCCGAAGGGTTCCGAAGCGCAATAGTGGCAGATCCATGGGTCTTAGAGTGATCCCGTCCAAGGGGGCAGATCACAGAGATTCACAGAGGACCGTTGGGTCGTTGTGGGGTGCTTGTGTTGAGCCATCGAGTGATGGCGCAAAGCAGCTTTGCAAAATTTGTAGCTTCTCATGTATAGATGCAAGCCGTTACAGGGCGCTTTCGCCCGTACGGCATGTATAAGGCACCGACCATTCGCGTCCCTAGCGAAACAAGGCTGTGAACTCCACGCACCCGAGCCTTGTACACACTCAAATCCTGGCCAATTGGTAGCCCTAAACACAGACCCACAGCACAAAGAAGCGGCACTGTGTGGCATGCACGTGAGTGGATGACCTGTGCCCCGCGGGCGCGAGCATCTTGTACAGCTCTGGTCTAGCTCCGCTTTCATCTTCTGTCCGCAGCCATGGGTGACGAGGAGGTCCAGGGCTTAGAGTGGACGGAACGCCTCAATCCCTTCAATATCCGACTTTGCTACATAGACAAGGAGGGATAAGGGGCGCAGCGGTGTGCGGGGTCGCAAGTAGAAGCCGGCAGTGGCTTGCTGAAGCGTTGCTCCAAGGTGGCCGCGTTGGTGGTGGACAATGGCAGCGGCATGTGCAAGGCCGGCTTTGCCGGGGACGACGCCCCCCGCGCCGTCTTCCCGTCCATCGTCGGCCGCCCCAAGATGCCAGGCATCATGGTGGGCATGGACCAGAAGGATCGCTTCTTGGGGATTTTTGGCTGGTGCGTAGTCTTCGCAGGGTTGATCTAGCCTGTTGCAAGTGTCTCGTGTTGCGTTTGTGCTTTCCCGATTGTGGGCATGGGGGTGTGTGCAGGACTCCTACGTGGGCGACGAGGCCCAGTCCAAGCGAGGTGTCCTCACCCTGAAGTACCCCATCGAGCATGGCATCGTCACCAACTGGGACGACATGGAGCCTTGGCCAAAAGCTGTGCAAGAGTGTGAAAGCATCGCCTGAGTGTTGCAAGACGGCATGAAGACATGAGGGAGCATGCGCGCGCCGCCCGTCCTAGGAGAAGATCTGGCACCACACCTTCTACAACGAGCTGCGCGTCGCCCCGGAGGAGCACCCGGTGCTGCTGACGGAGGCGCCGCTGAACCCGAAGGCCAACCGCGAGCGCATGACGCAGATCATGTTCGAGACCTTCAACGCGCTCTGGTCGAAAGCAAGACACGCCACAAGCCCACGAACCCGAAGCCCCGAAGAGGTTTGTCTTGCTTCTTCTTAGCACGAACCCGCGCAGTAGCTTCGCGCGTGCAATGCGCATTTTGTTGTCTCCGTTACATGAAAGAAAATCACTCTTCACGCTTCAGAGCTATCAGAGCTGCAAAGCGGTGGCCATAAGGTGCCTGCCATGTACGTGGCCATCCAGGCCGTGCTCTCCTTGTACGCCTCCGGCCGCACCACGGGCATCGTCATGGACCGTAAGCGAAATTAATCCTTAGCTATACGGGGGGGTTGGGCCAGGGGGGGTTGGGGGGGTTGGGGCGGTTGCGCGAATGTGTGAAGACGGGCCTAGGGTTTCAGGAGCCTTTTCCCCATAATTAGGAGTCGGCTTTTCTATGGTGCTTAGGTTTTGATATGTTTTAATTGCATGTGCTCGAGCAGGACAGCGGCGACGGCGTGTCGCACACGGTGCCGATCTACGAAGGCTACGCGTTGCCCCACGCCATCCTCCGCTTGGACCTGGCCGGCCGTGACCTCACGGAGTACATGATGAAGATCCTGACCGAGCGAGGCTATTCCTTCACCACCACGGCAGAGCGTGAGATTGTCCGGGACGTCAAGGAGAAGCTGTGCTACATTGCGCTGGACTTCGACAGCGAGATGAAGGCGGCCAGTGAGAGCAGCGACAAGGAGAAGACGTACGAGCTGCCCGACGGCAACATCATCACCGTGGGCGCCGAGCGCTTCCGCTGCCCGGAGGCCGGGCAAGGCTGTGTGAACCTGGTAGCTTAGAGCGCTGCAAAGTTTGATGCGAGGCCTTGCTACAAACGTGTGCCGACGTTGTCTGTAGTAAGCGCTGCAGCACGTGGCAGGTCCTGTTCCAGCCCAGCTTTGTGGGCAAGGAGGCCAGCGGCATCCACGACACGACCTTCCAGTCCATCATGAAGTGCGACGTGGACATCCGCAAGGACCTCTACTCCAACGTCGTGCTGTCTGGCGGCACCACCATGTTCCAGGGCATCGGCGAGCGCATGACCAAGGAGCTGACGGCCCTAGCGCCCTCCACCATGAAGATCAAGGTGGTGGCCCCCCCGGAGCGTAAGTACAGCGTGTGGATTGGAGGCTCCATCCTGTCCTCCCTGAGCACCTTCCAGCAGATGTGGATCTCCAAGGGCGAGTACGACGAGAGCGGCCCGACCATCGTGCACCGCAAGTGCTTCTGAGGTTTTCGAGGCTTCCGCGGCTTCTGAGGGGCTGGGAGGGAGCTGGGCAACGCCTTTGGCCAGACATGTCGAAGAGGGTCAAGCCCTCATGTTCATGCCTGAGCCGAAGGGTTCCGAAGCGCAATAGTGGCAGATCCATGGGTCTTAGAGTGATCCCGTCCAAGGGGGCAGATCACAGAGATTCACAGAGGACCGTTGGGTCGTTGTGGGGTGCTTGTGTTGATCCATCGAGTGATGGCGCAAAGCAGCTTTGCAAAATTTGTAGCTTCTCATGTATAGATGCAAGCCGTTACAGGGCGCTTTCGCCCTTACGGCATGTCTAAGGCATCGACCATTCGCGTCCCTAGCGAAACAAGGCTGTGAACTCTACGAACCCGAGCCTTGTACACCCTCTTTCAACACACGAATCCTGGCCAATTAGTAGCCCTAAACCCGCACCACAGCAAAAAGAAGCGGCACTGTGTGGCATGCACGTGAGTGGATGACCTGTGCCCCGCGGGCGCGAGCATCTTGTACAGCTCTGGTCTAGCTCCGCTTTCATCTTCTGTCCGCAGCCATGGGTGACGAGGAGGTCCAGGGCTTAGAGTGGACGGAACGCCTCAATCCCTTCAATATCCGACTTTGCTACATAGACGAGGAGGTATAAGGGGCGAAGCGGTGTTCGGGGTCGCAAGTAGAAGCCGGCAGTGGCTTGCTGAAGCGTTGCTCCAAGGTGGCCGCGTTGGTGGTGGACAATGGCAGCGGCATGTGCAAGGCCGGCTTCGCTGGGGACGACGCCCCCCGCGCCGTCTTCCCGTCCATCGTCGGCCGCCCCAAGATGCCAGGCATCATGGTGGGCATGGACCAGAAGGATCGCTTCTTGGGACTTTTTGGGTGGCGCGTAGTCTTCGCAGGGATCAAGCCTGTTGCAAGGGTCTCGTGTTGCGTTTGTGCTTTCCCGATTGTGGGCATGGGGTTTGTGCAGGACTCCTACGTGGGCGACGAGGCCCAGTCCAAGCGAGGTGTCCTCACCCTGAAGTACCCCATCGAGCACGGCATCGTCACCAACTGGGACGACATGGAGCCTTGGCAAAAGGCTGTGCAAGAGTGTGAAAGCATCGCCTTAGTTTTGCAAGACGGCATGAAGACATGAGGGAGCATGCGCGCGCCGCCCGTCCTAGGAGAAGATCTGGCACCACACCTTCTACAACGAGCTGCGCGTCGCCCCGGAGGAGCACCCGGTGCTGCTGACGGAGGCGCCGCTGAACCCGAAGGCCAACCGCGAGCGCATGACGCAGATCATGTTCGAGACCTTCAACGCGCTCTGGTCGAAAGCAAGACACGCCACAAGCCCACGAACCCGAAGCCCCGAAGAGTTTTGTCTTGCTTCTTCTTAGCACGAACCCGCGCAGTAGCTTCGCAGTAGCTTCGCCCACGCACTGCTCATCTTGCTGCCTCCGTTACATGAACTTAAGCAGAACATAACTTCTTCACGCCTCACAGTTGGGAAGCGGAGAAGAGGTGATCCGCGTCTTTTTTGGGGTATCTGCGTCTTTTTTTGGGTGTTATCTGCGTTTTTTGGGAGGGGTTATCTGTGTCTTTTTCGGCTGATTTCCTGCAGCTCGTCACACTTTTTGCTTCCACCGAGGGTTATCTGCGTCTTTAAAAAGACACAGATCACGCACAAGAAAAAAACAGATCACCCCCTTTCTGTTTAGGGTCTAGGGCTGTAGGGTTGAGGGTTTAGGGTTTAGGGTTTGGGGGGGGGGGGGGGGGGGGGGGAGGAAGAAAGCGGGGGGGGGGTTGGAGCGGGGCGCAGCCCCCCCGCATTTACAAACACAGTGCTTGTATTTTGGGTTAAGGTTTAGAGTTTAGGGTTGGGTTTAGGGTTTGAGCGGGGGGTTTCGGGGAAGGGAAAAAAAGAACCCCCCCCCTTTACAAGCACAGTGCCTGTACTATGAGTGTAAGGTTTAAGGATGAGGGTTTAGGGTTTAGGGTTCAAGAGCTCCTGGTCGAGCAGCTTCTCGTTTAGGCTCGTTAGAACATCGAAAAACACCCACGCACCCGAAGTTCCCATAACATTAAGAATACAAAGTTTCTTCTTATTATTAGGCTGGCTAAACAACAAAACAAATGACCACCTCTTAACAAACGAGAAGGTGGAAATGCTAAACGGCGGAGGCCTTGAGGCCCTGAAACCCTAAACGCCAGGCCTTGAGGCCCTGAAACTCTAAACACCAGGCCTTGTGGCCCTGAAACCCTAAACACCTGGCCTGGTGGCCCTGAAACCCTAAACACCTGGCCTTGTGGCCCTGAAACCCTAAACACCTGGCCTTGAGGCCCTGAAACCCTAAACACCAGGCCTTGAGGCTCTGGAACCCTAAGCACCGGGCCTTGAGGCCCGGAAACCCTAAACACCTGGCCTTGAGGCCCTGAAACCCTAAACACCAGGCCCGGAAACCCTGAAACCCTAAACGCCAGGCCTTGAGGCCCTGAAACCCTAAACACCAGGCCTCGAGGCCCTGAAACCTGAAACACCTGGCCTTAAACCTTAAGCCAGGCCATGAAGCCCTGAAACCCTAAACGCCAGGCCTTGAGGCCCTGAAACCCTAAACGCCCTGAAATTGAAACCCTAAAACGCCAAACCCCGGCAGGGTCTCAAGGGCTTAGGGTGTCAAAGGTTTAGGGTCTTAAGGGTTTAGGGTTTGAAGGGCTCAAGGCCCTACGCCGCCGGGCCTATGCCCACGAGTTTTGGGCCTTGCCTACGAATTTTGGGCCTTGCCCACGAATATTGGGGCCTTGCCCACGAAATTTTGGGTGTTGCCGAATTTTTGGGCCTTGCCCACAAATTGTTGGGCCTTGCCCACGAACCAAAGGCCCAAAAACTCGTGGGCAAGGCCCAAAACTTGTGGGCAAGGCCCAAAAACTCGCGGGCAAGGCCCAAAACCCGCTTTTGGACCTATGCACACGAATTTGATGGGCCTTTCCCCCACGAGTTTTTGGGCTTTGCCCACGAATCCAGTCAGGTTTATAATTATATGTTAGGAGAGGTTGAGGGAGTTTGGGTTCTAGGGCTTGAGGGTTGAGGTTTGGGGTTTAGGGTTTGGGGGGGGGGGGGGGGGGGGGGGGGGGAGAAGCGGGGGGGGGGGGGGGGGGTGGGGGGCGGGGAGCACCCCCCCCCCCCCCCCCCCGTCCCCATTTACAAGCACAGAGCTTGTATTGTGGGTTTAAGGTTTAGGGTTTAGGGTTTAGGGTTTAGGGCTTAGGGAGAACAAAAAGACATGGATAACGCCAAAAAAAGACACAGATAACGCCAAAACAAAAGACACAGATGACGCGACAAAACACAATGAAGCAAGCTGTTCCTCGAGACGTTCGAAAAAAGCATACACAAACATGACACAGATAACGCGAAAAAAAAAGACACAGATAAAGCAAAAAAAGACATAGATCACCCCCTTTCTTGGGAAGCGGTGGCCATAAGGTGCCTGCCATGTACGTGGCCATCCAGGCCGTGCTCTCCTTGTACGCCTCCGGCCGCACCACGGGCATCGTCATGGACCGAAAGCGAAGTTAAATTAGACCTCAGCCCGAGTCCTGAGCATCAACAAACCTCCGATTTACGGCCCTGGTCACTTGGGTTTTGGGTGGTTGGGGAGGGGTCGCATGGGCGGGGAATGGGGCTCCTGGCATTTGTAGGGTTTCCGGAGCTTTACTTGTGCAGGAACTGGGGTTTATGGTGCTTAGGCTTCAATATGTTTTAATTGCATGTGCTCGAGCAGGACAGCGGCGACGGCGTGTCGCACACGGTGCCGATCTACGAAGGCTACGCGTTGCCCCACGCCATCCTCCGCTTGGACCTGGCCGGCCGTGACCTCACGGAGTACATGATGAAAATCCTGACCGAGCGAGGCTACTCCTTCACCACCACGGCAGAGCGTGAGATTGTCCGGGACGTCAAGGAGAAGCTGTGCTACATCGCGCTGGACTTCGACAGCGAGATGAAGGCGGCCAGCGAGAGCAGCGACAAGGAGAAGACGTACGAGCTGCCCGACGGCAACATCATCACCGTGGGCGCCGAGCGCTTCCGCTGCCCGGAGGCCGGGCAAGGCTGTGTGAATCTGGTAGCTTAGAGCGCTGCAAAGTTTGATGCGAGGCCTTGCTACAAACGTGTGCCGACGTTGTCTGTAGTAAGCGCTGCAGCACGTGGCAGGTCCTGTTCCAGCCCAGCTTCGTGGGCAAGGAGGCCAGCGGTATCCACGACACGACCTTCCAGTCCATCATGAAGTGTGACGTGGACATCCGCAAGGACCTCTACTCCAACGTCGTGCTGTCTGGCGGCACCACCATGTTCCAGGGCATCGGCGAGCGCATGACCAAGGAGCTGACGGCACTGGCGCCCTCCACCATGAAGATCAAGGTGGTGGCCCCCCCGGAGCGCAAGTACAGCGTGTGGATTGGAGGCTCCATCCTGTCCTCCCTGAGCACCTTCCAGCAGATGTGGATCTCCAAGGGCGAGTACGACGAGAGCGGCCCGACCATCGTGCACCGCAAGTGCTTCTGAGGTTTTCGAGGCTTCCGCGGCTTCTGAGGGGCTGGGAGGGAGCTGGGCAACGCCTTTGGCCAGACATGTCGAAGAGGGTCAAGCCCTCATGTTCATGCCTGAGCCGAAGGGTTCCGAAGCGCAATAATCACAGATCCATGGGTCTTAGAGTGATCCCGTCCAAGGGGGCAGATCACAGAGATTCACAGAGGACCGTTGGGTCGTTGTGGGGTGCTTGTGTTGAGCCATCGAGTGATGGCGCAAAGCAGCTTTGCAAAATTTGTAGCTTCTCATGTATAGATGCAAGCCGTTACAGGGCGCTTTCGCCCGTACGGCATGTCTAAGGCATCGACCATTCGCGTCCCTAGCGAAACAAGGCTGTGAACTCTACGCACCCGAGCCTTGTACACCCTCTTTCAACACACGAATCCTGGCCAATTAGTAGCCCTAAACCCGCACCACAGCAAAAAGAAGCGGC